CCACATAGAAAGTATTGGAGATAGAGTTTGGAAAAATATAGAAAGATTTGCTCCCACACAACCACCCAGGGAGCTTGGCAAAGAACAAGTAGGCAAATAAACGAGCTCATGTCAGATAGGGACAGAAGTGTCTAGGATGCTGGGAGCAAGTTTGCCACGTATCCCGAGTTAGAGGCCCCGCTGAGTGGGAGCATGAGACTGCACCAGTTAGAGGGAGCACCCTTTGCAAATCATTGCCAAGGCGCTCTGCACCCCCACAGCGGCCCTGGATCTTAGAACGAAAGTGAAGCTGAGCACCGCAGAGACTCTTAGCCAAGGTGGTCAGGGAAGTTCTTGCTTTGTGATCCAAATGATGAGATCATCTGAAGGGAGGGTCTTTAGGGCAGAGAACAGTCCACAGAACACCTCCAAGGCGGAAATAAAACTTGGACTGTGTGGAGCAGAAAAAAGGCTGGTGGGGAGGAGCTGGGAAGAAGTCATGCATGTGTGTGCAGATACATCAGATTCTGAAGGTCTCAGCTCATTCAGATGGTGTTCGGCAGCTGAGGGGTGTGAGTGTTAGGAAATGAGTTAGAAAGGGAAGATTCCATCCAGATTGTGGAGGGTTGTAATCATAAACCAGTGAAGAGTCAACAACGGGAAAGGGAGATTATAGATGAGATATTTGTTTTGTTTTGTTTTGTTTTTAAGGAAAAGGATTCTCTTGGCGTCTAGTAGGTCAGTTACAGGGTTGCTATGATAGCCAAGGAGAAAAACAGAGAGAATAAAGAAGGGAGCTGATATACAAGAGTTAGTGCCAAAGTAAAAACAGCAGGACTGGGTGTCAAATGGATACTGTGGATGAGAAAAAGGAAGGTTTGGGGGCCCTTTATGATCCCCTTCCCCGCGTGGCCACACTCAGTCTCATCACTTCCCTTCCATCTGAGAACCCCTGCCTGGCCTCCAGGGAGCCCCTCTCCTTCCTATGAACTGAGGTAACACTTCATCTATGCATTCCACAGATCCATTACATCTCACGTTTTAACTTAGAGCTTTATTTCTTGTGTACCTGCCACATCACCCTGCTTAGACTGACAGCTACTTGAAGACAAGAACCAAGGGTTGTTTATTTTTGCAGGACTCAAATAGACAACTCCTGGCACATTACAGTTGCAGGAAGAATAGAATCAAAGAGAAAAAGTGGCCACAAACTGAGTTATGGCAGGTGGCTTCTAGCGCAGTCTTAAAAACACACAGATTATTCAAGAATTGGTGATTCATAAGATGAACCTCATCTTCATATAGACTCTGTTGTGAATTCTTTTAAGGCAGTTGTTACATTTATTGTGGACATTTTTCTTATACCAAGTATTCCTAATAGTAAGGCTCAAGAAATGGAACCAGTTGTTCCCAAATAATCACAGAAACAATTTTTAAAAGTTGACAAGTAAAGAGAGAGATGAGCAAGCCAAAAGGCAGAGCCCCAGTAGTCTAGCTCAGGAGACTATGGTGTCCACTCTAAGGCTCCCTTGCTCTCAGTATGAACCCCAAGTCCTCTCACGCCATCTCCCATGGCTGAGCTTTCACTGAGCCACCCAAAGCATGAGAAATTTCAAGAAGCAGCACGTCACCCCAGATGTTTATCTCACAAGGTCATCTCTCCTGTAAGGAGAGAAAGGGTATTTCCCTGGCCATCTAGTGGTTAAGATTCACCTTCCAATGCAAGGGATGTGAGTTCAATCCCTGGTTGGGGAGCTAACATCCCACATGCATCATGGCCAAAAAAACAAAACTTAAATAAAACAAAATCAATGTTACAACAAATTCAATAAAGACTTTAAAAAATGGTCCACAGTAAAAAAAAAAAAAAATGTGAAACTCATATGTAAAATGAAAAAAAAAAAAAAAGGAAGAAGAGAAAGAAGAGTGGCTTACAGGCTTACATCAACTTTGGCTGACAGCCCTAATCTCCAACTTTGGTTGGTTGTATGGACAATCTGTAAAGATCTAGAATTCTCTTTCCTATTTCAGCTTCAAGTTGCAAAGTCCAGGTGGAAATGATATAGCAGTCACGGAGCACAACATTTCAACATTTCCAGGTTCTAGTTTGCATTTTAGCTTCAGTGAGAGTTTCTTTATAAAACAGAAGAGAAGGGGAGTGCAGAGGGAGAGACTTGTATCTTAATTGGATCTCCACCTATTATTATAACACACAAAGCCCAGAAGTGCTAGCGAAGGTCTTGACAACAAACAGGCCTGGACAAAGCAAGGAAGGTTGCCATGGTGCTCACACGAATAGGGAGGAGCCCAGGAAAGCAAGAGTCTGTCTGTACATCTTCCTCATCGCACAGTTAAGACAGCCTGGAGGTGCTTCCCTGGCAGTCTAGTGGTTAAGACTTTGCCTTTTAGAAAGTGCAGGGGGTGTGGGTTCAATCTCTGGTCAGGGAACTAAGATCCCACAGGCCTTGCAGTCAAAGAGCCAAAACATAAAACAGAAGCAATATTGTAACAAATTCAATAAAGACTTTGAAAATAGTCCACATCAAAAAAAAAAAAAACACTTTAGAAAAAAAGAAAAAGAGTGTGGACAATAGGAATCACATACCCTATGCTTTTTTTTTTTAACATGAGAAATGCATGCACATTTTACTTAATGCAATCTCGTGGACTGTAGCCTGTCAGGCTCCTCTGTCCGTGGGACTCTCCAGGCAAGAATACTGGAGTAGGTTGCCATTTCCTTCTCCAGGAATTTTTCCATATGCATGGGCAATTTCATAAGAGAATGAAGACCTGAAAACATGACCAGAGCAGCAAACTTCTAAACTTGTTAGACAAAGAAATAATAAATTTGTAAAGAAGCAACAAGACAGAGAGATTTCGGTTAGGGACAGAAAAAAGTAAACAAGTAACTAGTTCAGGTGTAGTTAAACAAGGTTTATTTATGCAAAATTCTTTGCCCCCAATTCCAAAGGGCTTCCTTCCTCCTGGTACATGGAGGGGACCTCTCACGTCGCCCTGTGCTACTTCACTACAAAGGATATTTTGGGATGAACTTATAATGTAGAAGAGGGATATTCTAGTGTTGAGGTTTAAACCAGCAATTCAAGTCTGTCCTCAGAAGGGAGTCAAAGAAGAAAGTCGGGCTTCAGAGTGTGGGGATGTTCATCGGCTCTTGGTGTCACAGATGCTGTAAATGACTGTGGCCTTGGTGATGTTGCCATAGACCATATCACGACAAGGTCCTCTTCCTAAGAGAATCGTCTCTTTTCCTCTCTGGACTCTTGTCAGTTCTAATTATTTATAAACTAAGTGCCCCCCTGGCATGGATGGCTTTTCAGGTGATAAGTGAATCTGACTGCTTGGAATAGGAATGCCACCCCCCCCCCTTCCTAGGATTCTGGGCTTGGCTTCCTAGCAATGAACTTGGGATATAGCTTCCCCAGGGGAAGTGGGGCATTGGACCGCAGAACTGCTAATCTTCTTGACTGTCTCCATTCAACTCATCTGGGAATGGGAAAATACTAGGCCAGAGGGAGAACTATTACGTTGGCCAAAACGTTCGTTCGGGTTTTTCCATATCATCTTACAAGAAAAACCCGAAGAAATTTTTGCTAAACAGTGACAGTCCTAAGGTCCTCAGCAGGCGCTACCCATACAGGTAACATAGAATCTCTTTCCTGAATGTTCCAGGGAAGGGCTGGAGACAGAAGTGAGACAGCCGCTACCAGATAAGACCCCAAGAGCCCCCACCCTGGCAGCCTGGTGACATACTCCCAGACCCCTGAGGCTGACAGCTGGGCTTCTGCTCTTTCTCTCACCCCAGGAAGCTTGAAAATGCAAGAGTATGAGGGTGAGTTTATTTTACATATACCTCTAAGTATATTTTATATTTTAATATATTTTTAATGGCTTCCCAGGTGGCATAGTGGTAAAGAAACTGCCTGCCAGCGCAGGAGATACAAGTCAGGAAGATCATCTGGAGGAAGAAAGGGCAATCTGCTCCAGTATTCTTGCCTGGAAAATTCCATACAATACCTCTGAATATATTTTATATTTTATTATATTTTAAAATCTATTTTATAATATTTTATTTTATATATAAAATAGCTTGTATTTTAAGTAAATTATATAAAAATTTTAGTGCTGTTTTTATTATTAAAAATAAATTTCTGGGTAAGTCCCTGGTCCAGTGGTTAGGATTCAGTGCTCTCAGGGGCCCCACGTTCAATCCCAGGTCGGGGAACTAAGATGCCACAAGCCATGTGATATGACCAAAATATTTTTTTTTTAATTTCTTCAAATACATTTCTGATGATAACACCTCTGAAGTGAACATAGCCTAGCTCTGAGAGACTGAAGAATTTCTCCTGTGGAGGATGTGGTCCTAGGAGGCAGGAAAGTGAAATTGAAAGTGTTAGTTGCTTAGTCGGGTCCAGCTCTTTGCCACCCCACGGACTGTAGCCCACCAGGCTCCTCTGTCCATGGGATCCTCCAGGCAAGAATACTGGAGTGGGGTGCCATTCCCTTCTCCAGGGGATCGGAGGCAGGAGGAAGTATTAACAACTCAACTTTTATTACTCGGCCCTTGCTGCCCAGTGAAGAGGCCATCTGACGCTGTTATCTAAGGGATTGTTGTCTAAGAGCTTGTCGGTGGAAGACTGAAAGGGCCTACCTGGCTACTCCAAGTGTGCCTTGCTGATCCGCAGGACTGGCAAAATAGGTTTTACCTGGAGGCTGGTTAGAAATGCAGGGTCTTGGATCTCATGCCATTCTGGCTGAACCAAAACCTGCATTTTAATAATGCCCCCACTGATTCATGTTCACTTTGAAGTTTTTGAAGCACTGCCCTGATGAGCTGACAAATTGCAAATTAGTCTTCCCTCAAACATCTCTTCCGACTACCATGAAATCCCTATGTCAATCAGCCTTCCCTCCAGCATCAAATATAATAATGCGATGGAAAGCAAATCAGCCACAGAGTGAGTCTGCAAACCTTGCAAAAGACGCAGGATTTCACGGAATTAGCAGACGTGATCTGAGAGAACCCCTCCAATCATAACCGAAGCATCGGCTAGTGAGGAAATGGCAGACTCCTTAACACGGGAACAGGAACGAATCTACAAGGGCGGTGACATTCCTTCACAAGAGAATAATGTGAAAAAAAAGAGAGAGAGCATGATTTAAATATCAAAGAGTTTCGACAGGCCCTCGGGAAAAAAAGATGAAGCTCATGAATATCTTTGTAAAAATGACCCACTTTATGATTGTGCTGTGAAAGCCAAACATACAGTTTTGTTGAAAACCTATGCTCAAAAAAAAAAAAAAAATTCAACATTCCATTCAGTCTTCAATCATTCTTTCCAGTGTCCTTTTGAGATCTTTCCCCCTTTTCCCTAATGTGACTTCTTTTTTGGTCCCTACGACCACTGTGGGACAATTAATACCTGCTTACTCTACAGCTCAATGAAGAATTCTTTCTCCTGTCCCATTTCCTGGTTGGATATTCAGGACACAGTGAATATCCAACGTGGAAGGGGGTTCACCGCCGGGTTAGAGCTCCAGGGGGGCTACCTGCGCAGGGGTTACCTTATCCACCATGAGGAAGTTCTCCAACGTCTCTCCGTTTTCACAGGTGACATCGCCGACCTCCCTCACAGCTCTGGGCAGGATCTCTTGCACCTCCTGGGCGATCATTCCTAGACACAAACACCCCATCAGGTTTCGTCAGGAAAAGACCTTTCCCAGAATGGGAACGGCGAACAGGATGTCTTTGCAAACAGATACTTATCCCTCCTCAGTGTTGGCTTTGATCTGCAAGGCATTTGAAGCAAAGGAGGAATTTGGATCCCAGAACCACTCTAACATTAAAATATGTATACCTGTGACTGATTCATGCTGATGTTTGGCAGAAACCAGTGCAATTTTGTAAAGCATTTATCCTTCAATTAAAAAATAGATTAATTTTTTAAAAAGTGGGAGTGTTGTTTTTTCCACTCTTTCTTGAGACTCTGAGCCAAAAATTGGAAAGAGTAAGTGCCTTAAAATCCCTGTACATAGACGGAAGGCTGGAGCTTGATTTTCCGTCTTTTCCTACAGCTGCACTCGGACCCCTAAATGGTCCTTGTTTCTTTAGAATTTCTGGACCGGAGTATAGACACCACTCTGCCTTTCCTCTGACTGGACCCACCTGCCCGGCCACCTTCCCCCTCTACCCGGAGGCTGTCCAGGGCTGCTTACAGTTTGCTCTGCCATCTGCCCCTCAGCCCTCATCCCATGAGCAAGAGGACTCTGGGGAAGAGAAACAACGCATTTCAGAATCGTCCCCCAGTACCTTGGGGTGCAGGAGTTGGGGTGGGGGTGCTGTTGAGTAAAGATGACACAGCAGTTTCTTTAACCTTCCCTGTCTGGTGATGATAGCTTGCACAGGGGACATGTTAGAGAGACAGGATGCTGTCAAGAGCTATGGGCATACAGCCTCCAGAAGAAGTGGGAATTAAAACATGTCGACCACATAAAATCAAGAAGGGAGTTTGTGTGTGTACCTGTCTGATGGGCAGTGTTTATCCCCATCGCAGACGCAAATTCAGGCTTGTAGTCATATTCAACAATCCTCATTTGGGCTATTCTTCTCAGCTGTTCGTTTGTGTCAACCTAATGGAATTAAAGAGCAGATTTCACACGCTTCGATGTTTGTTATTCAAATTAAGGCTCAGAGTGACCCAGAGAGACAAAGAATGTTGGCAGTGGGACTGTCCTTTCCTTTTGCCCAAACTATTTTCAGAGAAATTTATGTTTTTCTCCTCCAAGAAGCAAAAGTTTCAAAAGTCATGTCAGTGACTTCCATCCACTAGTTTATAAAATGAGCCAGAATTAAATGGCTAAATTACAGGGGAAAACATTAAAAAAAAAAAAAATAAAGGACTTCCCTGGTGGCTCATTGGTAAAGATTCCGCCCACCAGTGCAGGAGACACGGGTTCGATTCCTCATAGGGGAGGATCCCACATGCTATGGAGCAACTGAGCTCCTTTATTACAACTACTGAGCCCCCGCTCTAGATCCCGGGAATGCAACTTCTGAGCCCACGTGCGGCAGCTGCTGAAACTCGCGTGCCCTAGAGTCTGTGCTTCCACTACAAGAGAAGCCACTGCAATAGGAAGTCCGCACTCTGCAGCTAGAGGGTAGGCCCTGCTTGCCGCAACTAGAGAAAAACCTTGCAGCAGGGAAGACCCAGCAGAGCCAAAAATAAATCAAATTTAAATAAATTACAGGGCAAAAGCTCCCTCATTCACTACTCTGGCCTCACTTCTCTCTGCTGAGAGTTAAACCATCTTTTTGAGAATGGAGCCGGCTGACCTTAGAGAGAAACAAGTGCTGTCCAAGATGGCAAGGTGTCATTTCCAAATGATCACGTGGTATAAGCACCCAACAAATACAGGCCAACCTTGTATTAATAAATTAAAAGAGCAGTGCTTACTTCAAGTAACAACATTTGAAGAATGGGTATATAATATATCATTAAATTGCTGGTGGACATCTTGCTAGAGAAAATTTCTTCAAGGGGCAGTTTGCAAGTCCAGATGACCCACCAGCAGGTCCCTCAAAATTCAGGGTTCCTTCCTATAGATGACTTCTGCCCTAGACCACCCTAACCAGGGGTCCTCCTCTGAGCCGACCACTCTTACAGAAGTAGTTCAAACACTCCCAACTGTCAATGCAAATTGCTCAAAATAAATTTCATGGGCGCCAGCAAAATTATAACAATAAAGCAATATAGTGGAATTTTCCTAGGGCTAAATGTGATGATTCAAAGGCTTCTTTTTCAATTGGAGTTTTTAAAAAATGAATTCATAGTAATAGCATGATCAATTTTTTTAATGACCTAATTTGACAAGTTAAAAAGTTGGCAGTACTATGTGGGTCCCTAAATTTTCTTTTAGGGAACATAACTGGATTATGAAACCAGCATCTCTTGGCAATTAAAAATATACCACCTGGACATCATCTATATGTTGGAACAACTAGAAATGCTTTTCTGTTGTTTTAAGAAGTCCCTGCTTTGGCCCTTAACTCCTCCCTGCACTCACTCTATCAAGTGAGCAGGAAAATTCTTCCAATATCAGAAAGGCTCTCTGTTCATCCATTTGGCTGGTATCAAAAGTTGTGACTTGGTGCTTAACTGGATAAACAGACTAACTTTACTTCAGGTACTTGTCAGGGAGCTCACAGCTGTTTTGATCACTGCTGTCATCAAAAGCTTAGTTCAACTCATTCATTCACTGCTTCATTTGACTAATATTCACCAATCACCTTTGACATAGCAGGTAACTACACTAAGTGCTGGAACTTTAAAATGATTGTCTTTTAAAGTTCATGGTCTAGACAGACTCATCTCATAAGATTATATTACGATGTGAAAAATGCAGGTGAGGATGGAGTTATGAAAAGAGAATCCCATCAACTCCAAGGAGGTACCTGAAGTATTCTCAGGGGACTGTGAAAAAGGGCTTACCAGTGATGGTGAAGCCCAACAGAGATCTTGGCTTATTTCTCAAACACACTCTGCCCCTCCACAAGGTCAAGACCTTTGCTCAGGGCATTTCCTGCCTCAGAAGCTCTTCCTTTCTGCTCCTCTACCTCCACGTCCCCAATTTAAAACACCCCTTCACCAGAGAAGCATTGCTTGACCTCCAAGACTAGGAAGGCTCCCTCTGCCTTACATGCAGGCATTAATCAATTCATCACCAAACAACTAGTGAGTCACCTTTACTGTCTTCTTCTATTGAATAGATACCCTTATGAGGGTGAGGATGTATTTGAGCCCATGGTTTTCGATTCGTCACCATATCACCAGTTTCTAGAACAATTCCTTGCATGTAGTAGGTGCTTAAGTAATATTTATTAAATAAATTAATAACTTTAAGATAAGAGTGGGACTTTGCTGGTGGTCCAGGGCCTGAGACTCTACGCTCCCAATGTAGGGAGCCCAGGTTTGATACCTGGTCTGGGAATTGGATCCTGCATGATGAAACTAAGATTTCTCATGCCACAGCTAAGACCTGGTGCAGCCAAATAAGTAAATAAATAAAAAATAGAAGTTAGTCAAAGACAGATGTCAGCTAGGGAAGGGAGTGGAAAGGGTAAGAATAGGACAGGGATGCTGGGCAGAAAGAACACCATAAGCCAAGTTCTGAGGCAGCAAATCCCCTGAATTATGTCTGCACGACCGAATTCGTGTGTCTAGACTGTAAGGCTCAAGGCCAGAGCAAGGAGAGCCTTGCCAGCCATACCCAGATGGAGCAGTCAGAGTCTCATATTGCCCTGTGTGTACATGCCACTGTGAGCCACTTCATTCAACAATATAAAATGAGTAGCTACTATGTGCCAGACACTATGCCAAGCCCTGAAGATTCAAGGAGTAGTTCTTATTTGGAGCTTAAATTTTCATGAAAGTCCCTTCCCGGAGGCTGAGACCTGTATCTTGACCATCTAAGACCCTGCAGAGCGCCTGCACAGTGTCTGACAGGTAACAGGCACCCAGACTTTGAATGAAGGAAAGAAGGAACGGAAGAATGCAGGTAGTGAAACGGCAGAACCGTTGCTGACACTAACAGAACTGAAGGCAGGGTCAATCACGAACCCGCTAGCTAGGCCCTGCCCTGGCTCCTGCTCCCCACTCTCTTGGGAGACCTGTGCCCACTTTGCCTACTTCTCATTGTCCCCTGGTTCCTGCATGAGGGCCCATCAGAGAGCAAAGCGGAGGCAGTGCCAGTTTCTTTGTTGCAGAGGGAAACCAGAGGAGAATGTGCCCTCATGCCAACTGTCCAGGATACACAGAGGCAAAATAACTCCTGCTGTCTAAGTGGGATCCTTGACTTCGTTTTCCCTGAAGACATATTCCCAGACATAGCAATTAGATTCACTAGGACTACTACCATTGTATTTCAGACAGATTTTTGGCCAAAGAAAATTTTAAGGGTTGACTTGGAGAGCTAGACACCTTCTAGAACAATCTTTATCTAAGAAAATGCTTTCATGATTTCTAATGCTGGATTGTAGACTTTCCAAAGCTAAATATAAACAGCTTGAGTTGCATGTTCCCTGTGCCATGTACAGTTGGCCCAGGGAAACCCCTAGAGACAAGGGCTGTGCCTCCTTGGAATCCTCTGCCAGGAACTGTACCAAGGCCACCATTCAACCCCATGCCTTGCTCACTGGTGTGTGTTGAGTAAGAGCCTAGTGAGTGAATCTGGGCGCCCGATCTTGCCCACAGCAGTTTTGGAAAGTTTTGACTGTGAATGCAAATGGTTGTCTCTGTTATGCTATCTCACACTAAAGGTTTCCATATCATTAACTCAAGCATTGTACCGCGGAGAAGACATCACAGACCGTGGATTCCAGTCTGTTTAGGGAGGGAGATCTCATTACACATGGCCCACAGCCCAGACTATCAGTCTCCCATCCGGAGCAGCTTGAATGGCACCAGCTCACCCTGAACTTCTGATTTGGCTCATGGCCCTGAAGGGAGACTTTGCATGTTTGGCTTTCTTGAGCTCATCACACTTTTGTCTTTAACTAGCACACTGCTGGTGCTGTTGGGAGAACTGGTCTAGACCATTGTACTAGACCAACTGAAATGGTCTAGACCATTTCACCTTAACTGATTTTTTTTTCTTGGCTTTTCTTGTTTAGCCCTTTGCTGCCTTATTTTCAGCCTTTACCACAAAATTTGACTGATGCATTCAATGTTCAACTTCCTTATTTTATTTTTTTTGCATTGACATTGCTGTTCTTCATGCCCCTTTGGTTCTCAGCATAACTTTGCCACCCTAATTTTGCTCAGTTTCCATTGTAAAAGCTGTGTTTCATCTCCAGGTTATTATTGCCTCAGTAAACACCATGTCTGGGTAAGTAAAACTGCTCTTCACAGAGGCTGATCTCATTTTCCAGAGCTTCTGTTTTGCCGGCTTCAGTCACATCTGCTTTATCGTCTCTGTGTCTTGGATGTGAGTCTACATGAGTCCCAGAAATCTCCTCCAGGCCTCTCCACACAGGGTGCTGTGTGCTTATTACCTGCAAAGCCCCCTCCCCACTGCCTGGAGTGAGGAGACGCAGAGTCAGGCACTCAGCCGCTGACATTCGTCCCCCATCACAGCACCAGGCACAGGTGTAGTCACAGACGTTGTTTCACAGCAGCTACTCCAGAAGGCAGCTCTGGTTATCACGCCTCCTTAAAGAATGGGAAAAAGCCTCCAGTCCTACGCTTGCAATCAGATCAACCAAGCTTCACTTCCCGGCATGTTTGGAAGAATGGCCTTCCTTTTAAAAGTTGGGAAAATTGAGTCAGGGAGAGGTGAAGATAAAGTTCACGTGTCTGTCAGCACCATCATCATTATCATCATCTCTCTTGTCTGTAATAAATGGCGAATGAGGTAGACAAGATTTCTAGAGACATGTATTTTATGTGTGGATAGACTTATGAAAAACAAAAATATTAATGTGAAATAATGGATGGATTGTGTATATAACTTGCATTTTTAGGTTAATAATAGTAATATTCATTTATATCTGCTTAGCTGTATATATCTAAAAATGTTTCCCATATATGAGATTAGAAAAATCCTTTAATGTGAGTGAAATGAATATGGGTATTCCCCGCTCACAGAATAATAAACAGAGGCATAGAGCAGGTCTGGGCCAAAGTTCCTGGGCAAGTAGGTACCAGAATCAGGACTCAAACTAGCCTTCTAACCGGGGACTTGCTTTTCTTTCTTTCCTCCTGCTGCTCTGGGCAGGAAGGGGACACAGGAACATCTCATCTAGAGCCTTGATTGGGTGACACTGCACTTTATGGAGAAGCTTCCTAGAGGGATTTGAGAAGTTCCAGGGAACCTTGTTATTTTAAGACAATATGTTTCCGTCAAACCAAGGAACATCATTCGATGAAGACACTTGGTAAATGGTAGTCGGAGGGATTATGGAGGACCCTCCCCACTTGTCATCTTCCGCTTACATTTAGATAAGGCCTGGTGGGGGATTTTAGAGCCAGTTGCAAGGATGCGTTTGAGTTGGTGTGATCTGAAGCACAGACAGCTCATCTCTTTCTAAAAGGCAGAAGCATGGTATCTAAGGTTGGTATCTGGAACTGTGTACGAGAACCTCCCAACCCTGAGAGTTCCCATCCGGCTAGTAGGTCACATCTCTTCTAACACGAACCACAACTTTGCAATCAGTATAAAAGTCTACAATTACAGCCTTTCTCTGGGATTCTCTCAGCCAGCGAGGACATTCCTTGGCTACTTTAGAAAAACCAGTGCAGATCTGCACTGGGAAAGGAATGCAGTCTGGAAGCATGGCCAATGATTTACAAATTAAGTCTCCTATTAACTGAGAAAGAATACAGAAAGGAGATTTAAAAACACCATTCTGCAACTGCCTCAAAAGTGTTTACAGGAGATGCAGTATGTGTGAGAAGGTGGGGAGGGGGCAGAAGCCGAGAATGGGCAACAGAATTAAGGTTGGAATGACCTGGCATCTTCATCCTGACCCCTTAGGTCTTCATAGCATTTGTGACTTTCCAAGATGATTCAGTACTTACTGTCTCCATGGGTTAAAAATTATAAAAGACTCAGTGGGGTTAGGCAGAGAAGCATCATCTCTACCTTATAGATAAAGACACTGGCATTTCAGTGAGGTTAGGCATTTTTATCCAGGCAAGCCCAAAGTGGACAAGTAGCCTCCTGCTTTCAAGGGCTGATTTCTGATTTTTATAAGGCATGCATGCCTCATTACAGAGGGGAAAAGTCTTGACCTGGAAATGGGATGATGGGGTTGCCTGAGTGAGGACTGAGGAGGTGAAGTTTCTCTAAAAGTTCTCAGAAGGATGCTGAGCAGGGAAGACAGTGGCTGGCAGGCCCGGCGCCAGGGACTCTGGGAGGAAGAAGGTGGAGAGGCCCAGGGGAAATACGAGCAAGAACGGACCTAAAACAGTGCTCAGAAGATGAACAGGGAGATAGAAGGGTGGAGATGGAAAGGAAAGGCAAGCTCCAGTGGTTGATAACAGAAAAGCAGCAGCCTGTGGAAAGTAACTGGGAGACTTCTTGCTTGTGAAGCCAGTGTCACGCTGTCATGGCCCACTACTCCTGGGTGGTAAATGCATTCTCTCAGGTAGGAACTGCATTATAGTTCCAGCAGAGACACCTAACGACTCCAGTGCTAAGTGTTAAGAGCCATGTTTATCTCATGCCAGCAGGTGACGTGGAGAGATGCCTCGTGCGCAGCGTGTCAGAGGCCAGGAGAGCCCAGAACTCCTGATTCGGGTGTCAGAGGAGGTGTCCGAGGTCTGCCCCCTGCTCACCTCCTGGACATTCTGCTTTGCCCGGCTGTCAGAGGGATGCATAATCGACCCCATCACTTTCATGTTGCCACAGACAACCAGGGCTTCGTCCGGTGCATCTGTGTTTATGCCCACTCGCCCGTGACAAACGATAGACTCTGGAACTTGTCCTCGCTGCCATAATGCATCAATGTCATTTTCAAATTGCCCAGGGTTGGAGGCCTGGAAAAAAAAAATACATAAATACATTACAATTAAAGTTATGGACATAGGAACAAATGATTGCTTTATTCCTCAAAGGAAAGCAGAATGTTAGCTAAGTCTTTCACTTGAGAATCTTTGTCAGATGGAACATTCTGACATATTCTAATAATTGCGGCCCCAGGAGAACAAGGAAGTCTCCTTTAAATGCTCTGTATCCTCCACAGACCCCCCCCTCCCCACCTCCACCTGCATGAGCTCAGCCTGTCATGGTTTGCAACATCCGGTTTCCACATAGAACTAAAAATGTGTCAGTTATAGTAGGTGGATGATAAGGAAGAAGAAAAAACCTCAACATGAGTATCTTTTTAGGGAGAATAATAATAATGATTTAAAACCAGAATATTATGTCAGAAAATATTACAAGTTTATTAAAGTTCAGATAATTTTTAAAAGCCCTTGCATTTAGCTAGCCCTTTTATAGTTTCAAATCACCTTCATGTTTATGATTTCATATACAGTCGACAAGCAAATGACAACGCAAGCATAATTCATACACCTCAGCTATTCCCTAAGCACAGATTATACTGCAGGAAGCATTGTAACAGCTACATTTGCTGAGTGCTAATCCACGCCCCAATTCCATGAGATAAGACCCTTATCTTTCTTTTACTGATACTGAGACTCTAAAAGAATAAGCCTATTTCCCAAGGTCACAAATCTAGTAAGTTCTAGAGTTACAATTATATTTCCTTTGATTATTAAATAATGATTCTAACTTTGACTTTTGTGTGGTATTGCATAGAAGCAGCCCTGGCTGAATGCAGTCTTCAAGGAAAATCCAAGTGGATCTATTAGGCTAGAGAAAGTTTTGGAGGTTTTATTGTTATATAAAAATTTTTTGCCAAATAATTTTCTACTGTACTGCTTTCCCTCTGCCCCATTTCCCTGTAGCCAGTGAACATATTTCCACATATCTTTTCAAAAACAATTTATTTATATATTTGGCTGCACTGGGTCTTAGTTGTGGCATTCAGGATCTTTTGTTGTGGCATGTGGACTCTAGTTCTCTGCCTGGGGATTGAACCCTGGGCCCCCTGCATTGAAAGTGTGGAGTCTTAGCCACTGGACCACAAGGAAAGTCCCATATTTCCACATATCTTTGAGTGGGGAATCAATGAATCCATCAAAATCCTCACAACAAAATTAATGTTTTTAAAATTATGACCTATCCTTCTCTACCTGCTCTCTTGGTATTATTTAAATGTTTTTACCATAGTCGTGTGTTACTAATTTATAAATAATAATGAAAAGAAATCTCAAAGTTTATTGCTAAGTTTGGGTTCAGTTAGGAAATTCAGGTGTCTTTCACTTCCAGTTTCATTCCCACCTGTCTGAACCTTGATCTGCTTGGAAGACTCAACCATTGACACCACATAGACAAAAGCAGGGAAAGAATATACAGCAACAATTTTGAACAGTATTTTGTGCGAATTCACCTGAACAAAGAGCTTTTCTGCAAGGTCCCCAGAGCCTCCTTGGTTGTGAATGGCAATTTGGCTTTGACTCAAATCCTTTTATAGTGAGCAGTCAACTAAATCCAAAGGTATGCCATATAAAATGCTGGTGTATTTTCCTCTACTATGAACATAATGAGTCACTTCAAGGAAACAAAACAGGACAGTGATGGATTTTCTTTTTCTTAATGAGCTCTGGGATAATTATTATCCTGTTGGTAACTTGATAGTACTGGAACAGCAGATATAAGTAGGTTCAATTTTGGGGGAACAATTACAAGAATCTCACTTGGTTTTCATCAAATGAAAACTCAAATTCCTAAAACATATTCAAATCATTTTGGAATGGTCCATAGATCTACAAGGTTTAAAATACAGAGCCTTGAAGAGGATTCCTCCTCAGTAATGTGTGTGTTCAGTTGTATCTGACTCTTTGCGAACCCATGGACTGTAGCCTGCCAGACTCCTCTGTCCATGGAATTCTCCAGGTAAGAATACTGGAGTGGGTAGCCATTTCCTTCCTTGGGGATTCTTCCTGACCCAGGGATCAAACCTAGGTCTTCTGCATTGCAGGCAGACTCTTTACTAATGGAGAATTTTATTATAAAATCTGTGAACTTATTTTCCTTCTCTAGTAACAGGAGTGTTAATGTATCAAAGCAAACTGCAGTGGAACCACAGAAAAACATTCTGGGATCATGAATTTGTGCTCAGATGTGGCCCAATAGTGGTTGATTGCTATCAAATGCCAAAATAAAGTTTACAGAGTATTTTTATTATTTATCCCACAGCCTTACATATTTAGGGATGACCTGAACATTTTATTCTATGTTGTGACACAAAGGGGCTGTGTGACTTTGGGCCACTTACTTAACCTCCCTCTACCAGTTTTCTCCTCTGAAGAATACAGATAATAATGTCCTCACCTATCTTATGGGGTTGTGGGAGTTAACTGAAATCATGTATGCATGAACACTTTGTAAAAATGAAGATGAATGGTCTCAAATTCATGCTCAATACAATCTGCTGTGCATAGTAAGCACCATTCAGCCTGTCATCAGTCCGTCCTCTCAGTAGCATCTGCGGAGCTGCACAGTTAAGAGGGAGCTCCCTCCACAGAGAATACAGTGGAAATGGCGCCCCCTGCAGATGCTTGGGACGGGAACCATCACTAGTGGCAAAGGTTGGAAAGGGATGCTGGATTTCTTTGCTTTATCAGTTTGGGCTTCTAAAGAGCAGCCAAAGAGCATAATACGAAAGCTTGAGCTGAGGAAGGCAAGAAACTCATTCTTGTACCTTTTGAAAGGTCTAGAAAAATGGGCCTAGAGATGCAATCTACCAGGGTTACTCAAAGTGTGGTCCACAGGCCACAGCAGTATCAGCATCTCCTGGAAGCTTGTTAGAAATGCATAATCTTGAGAGAGTAGCACTGAAACATATTCATTACCATCTGTAAAATAGATGGCTAGCGGGAAGCTAGTGAGAGTCCCTTGGACTGCCAGGAGATCAAACCTGTCAATCCTAAAGAAAATCAGCCCTGAGTAGTAATTGGAAGGACTGATGCTGAAGCTGAAGCTCTAAAACTTTGGCCACTGATGCAAAGAACTGACTCTTTAGAAAACACCCTGATGCTGGGAAAGATTGAAGGCAGGAGGCGAAGAGGACCACAGAAGATGAGATGGTTGGATGGCATCACCAACTTAACGGACATGAGTTTGAGCAAGCTCCGGGAGTTGGTGATGGGCAGGGAAGCCTGGCGTGCTGTGGTCCATGGGGTCACAAAGAGTCAGACACGACTGAGTAACTGAACTGAACTGAAGTGAGCGGGAAGTTGTACAACACAGGGAGCTCAACCCGGTGCTCTGAGACAGCCTAGGAGGGTGGGATGGGGTGGGGTGTGAGAGGGAGGTTGAAGGGGGAAGAGACACATGTGTACTTATGGCTGATTCACATAGCTGTCCTGCAGAAACCAACACAATATTGTAAAGCAATTGTCAAATTAAAAATTAATTTTAAAAGATAAATTAGAAAAAAAGAAGTGTATATTCTCAGACATCTCCAACCTACTGAACCAAAAATTGTGGAGGTGGGACCCAGGCATCCATGTTTCCACCAGCTCTCCAGGGGATTCTTATTCTCAACACAGTTTAAGAATAACTTCTTTAGGTCATACACTAGCTCCATACCACTATGAAAGGGCTCATGAGTTACCCCTTCTATAGTTAGTAGACTGTTCTGTTGAACTCCAACCGCACAGTGAGACAGACATTGCTCTGCCCACTGATTCCTTTGTGTAAATAAAAATTCAGCTGAAATTCAGAAGAGGGGTATGTGTGTGTGCAGGTTGAGTGTGTAGGGGAAGGGAAGGGAGGTTTGTGGTCAGAAATGGGCACGGGCCAGGGAAAACAGAGATGGTACCTGGAATGTCTCTGTTCTCCCCCCATCCCTCACCATCCTTGCATCTGCATCCTTTCTCTTTGTCTTTCCCGATCCCGCGTGTGGGTTTCCCACCTTGTGGCACTGTGGTTGCAGAGCAATAAAAGAGAACTTGGGGGGACCTGCCCATTTCTATTCTTCTGGAAAAATAAGCTGGAATAAATTAATGGTTTTCAAAACTAGGAAACCCTGGCATGTCTTTGAAAGGCGGACAAAACTGATCATCCCTCCTGCTCGCAACATAGCCCTTCCAACCAGGTTTAATTATGTGTTTTAGGAGAAGAATGGAGCTGAAGGAAAGTCTAGCCATTAACAAGGAGAATTGAAGGACCTCTGCTGGGGAATGCTCCCCAAAACAAAGAGCTGGGAAACAAATCTGTTCTTTGGAGTGAGCTTTAATTTCCATTAAATTGGTCAATTTACAGTATGGGACCAAAATATCTTTCCAAAGCTGTTTTGATTGAAAACCTGGATGAACAATTGCTGGATCCTGCCCCTGTTTCTCTCTCCTCAGAGAATTCTGAAGAGCTTGGTCTCCTGAAACCCCCTCCCCACCTTGAGGCCTGAAAATCATCTACTCCAGTCTTCAGGCTGTGTGTGCTTCGCTTACTCACTCAGTCGTGTCCGGCTCTGCGACACCAACGACTGTAGCCCGCCAGGCTCCTCTGTCCATGGGATTCTCCAGGCAAGAATACTGGAGTGGGTTGCCATGCCCTCCTCCAGGGGGTCTTCCCAACCCAGGGATCAAACTCAGGTGTCCAGCATTGCGGGTGGATTCTTTACCATCTGAGCCACCTAGGAAGCCCAACCTTCCTCCATACACTCACCCTTATGTTAATTTCTGCTACAGGGAAAAATGACTCAGTTCTCAAAATGAATCTGGATTTGCTAAATGCAATTTGCAGGTCTCCATATAATGTGGTCAGGTCTTACCTTTGTCACATTTCTCTTCCTTCATTCTAGAACTCGAACTAACAGGCCCAGGCCTTGGCCCAAGAGGGCATATCTGGCTTTTTTGTAGAATGTAGGCTGGTCTGCCCTCTGCTCAACCCATGGTACATATACCTGTTTTGCACCCTCTAGAATCTCAGGGGCAGGAAACGTGCTCTCTAAAACTCACTGATTCAAACAATAATGGCATTTCTTAAATTCAGTTTTTCTCTTAGTTGATTTAAACATTATATGCTTAAATAAATGCAAAAGTCTGCATTCATTTTCACTCTGCATTTGGGGTTAGAACAAAATAATCTCAGTAAGATATTTCCAGTGTGAGGGAAAGATATTATTACTATCGTTTTTTTTCTCATTGTTGTTAGGGTAACCTTTGTGTTACCCAGCATACATATAGAATAGGGTATTCTCTTTAACCAAAAATTATGGCTAGAAGAAAGCCATTGAGTGTAGAACATACTCATTTTTAAAAAATAAAAACTTAGTGAATAATATGACATCCAGTCTATACTATGCATAATTTTTTCAATAGTCATACTTAACATGCATTACAGAAACTTTGGACTTCTCAGGGTCATCATCATGAGTTAAATTTTCATTGAACTTTGGGTGTAAGAAAGAGCCCATTAACAGAGAGTTCTGGGAACAGCGTGTCCAGCCACGCTCCCCTCTCCCTTTGCTGCTGCGGAGACTTGCACGGCAGCCTAAGCAGAGCTTTGCAGGGGCTGTCAGCAGGAAATGGAGAAATCTCAACACCAGGTAAAGTATTTAAAGTACGCAGGTGACTAGCAGACTGCCTGACTTAAGCATGAATGTCACCACTCAAAGCAGCAGTTTCATGGTATCCGATCTACCCTAGTTAAAAAGAAAGGCATTGCCTGTATTTGCTCCTTCCTGTGAGGAATCAGAAAAAACAAGCAACCTAGGTTTCCAGACTTGACTTTAAATCACATTCATTAGCACACCAAAGCAATTCCAGAGGACAGCAGGTGAGGTGTCAAAGACCACCCCAACCCTGGCTGAGGTATGGGCCGGAACCTCTGCCCTCGGCTCATGACCTAAGGAGGGGGTCCCACCTGCCTTTGCCCCAGAGGAGGCTGTTTTGCTGAAGCTTAGATCAGGCCCCACAGAAACACAGTCCGCGTATGCGTGCTGGCGGGCACACAGCCGGCCCCGCCCGGGGACATCTGGACACACCAGTGTTTTACTTCATTTCCATCATTACTCTACTTCCAATAAAACTCTGAGATGTAGTTTCAAGAGTTCCACTAATAGATGGCTTGTTATTTTTTATTGACTAAAAGAATGACACAGAGGGCCCTTTGTTTGAGAACAGCTCAAGGCAAGCTGTGGAAGACTCATTTCCCCAAATGGGCAGCTCTTGTCCCCAGGCCTAAGTTTAACAGCCGTGTCAGTGGGCGAGCCCCACTGTGAACTAGCTTCCCTGCTGGAGGGTGCACGTCCCCCTGTGGCACTTCAAAGACCCATCACCCATCAGCTCCTCCCAGGGCTGCCCGGCCTGTGGTTACCTGCTCCCTCACGGCCCTGGCATTCTCCGTGCTGGCCAGCCTGGCCGCACACAGCTGCAGATGCAGCTGCCAATAGCTTTATGTTTTTGTGGCTGCCAAGACTCCCGTCCAGAGCTGTGACCGATCGTTCATTCAGCAAAATGCGCTGAGCCATTACTATGCTCTGGGCAGCAGCCTAGAAGTCCCTGGGGTCACCGATCACTCTGGGCCATGGGGTGCCTTCCTGCCTATTGCCCCACCCTGTGGCCTTTGGGGTCAGAGGGGACTGGGCTGTAACCCAGGCTCCATTATTTACCTACTAGCTTTGTGCCCACGGATGACTTTCTCTCCCTCTTAAGCCTTAGTTCCTCTGGGTGTAAAGAAGGTAATGTAAACGTGAAAAAATGTAGAATGATATCACATAGAAATTATGTATCCCAGTGCCTACAACATACTGTAAAAACCGGGGTTTCTCAACTACGGCACTACTGACATTTGAGGAGGAGTGGCTCTGTTGTGCGGGCTGTCCTGGTCATCATAACATGTTGAGCAGCATCCCTGGCCTTAACCCACTAGATGCCAATAGCTCCCCTAGGTGTAACAACCAAAAATGTTTGCAGACATTGCCAAATGACCCACGGGAAACAAAAGTTCTGGCTGAGAACCACAATGTAAAAACTAAAATAGCAGTATCTGCTATTACTACCATTATCTTTGTCATCACTGGCAATTGAGAAACTGCATACTCCATGCATTCCACTGAATATGTAAAGGCTTCTTAGAGGGGAAAAAACAACAACAACAACACTTGGGATCCTGAAAAGTCAAAGAACCGCACTTACCCTTACAATGATCCGTTCAGAGATGTGGGCAGACAACAGGTAGAACTGGTCTTGGTTAGCAGCATACAGTCCAACCACCAACATGAAGTATCTAGTTCAGAAACAGCAGGCCAATGCCAACACATCAGGAAACAAGAGACATAGTTTGCGCCATCAAATTGTAATTAACAGAGAATTTACCCAGATGGGTTTACATATTTGAAGACTTTCTCTTCCACTNATGATGGTGGAGTGATTTTAAGAATGAAGGAGATGGTTTTAAGAATCTGCCTGTGCTTTCTCCTGCTGATTGTTTTAAAATATCTACAGTTTAAAAAACTACAGTGGAATGAGAGATATTTAATTATAGTCATTACTTTCATGGGATAGTGTTTGGTTTATGAAGCATGACACTATATTAGTTACATTGAAACTTAAGGTTAACAACTGCCCCTTACCCTCAAAATTCAATTAATAGGTATCATATCTCAAGATAATCTTTATTTTTACTTTCTATGAGTTACTAAAAAAAAAAGAAAAAACCACTAGAGTTTCTAATACTACTGATAAGAGAATTAAAATTATTTAAGCTTAGGTGATTTATTAAATTTAAATTAGTGGAGTTATTTTGAAAGATTGTGTGTGGAAGTATTTCATTTGTGTGATGTCAATTAGGATTAAATGAACTGTCATAATGAAAATAAAGTGATTTTCAAGGAATATGAGAAAATGCTTACTATATACTTTTGTTCAGGAATCAAAGGATGAACAGTGGAAACGAGCTATGGATTATTTAAATGTTGTCAATGAACTCAACTACATGACTCAGATTGTTATCATGCTGTATGAAGATCCTAACAAGGTAACAGAGTTCTTGATTTGCATGTGTTGTTCAGTCGCTAAGTTGTGCCCAACTCTGAAACGCCATGAACTGCAGAACACCAGGCTTCCCTGTCCTTCACTATCTCCCTGAGTTTGCTCAAACTCATGTCTGTTGAGTCGGTGATGCCATCCAACCGTCTCATCCTCTCTTGTCCCTTTCTCCTCCTGCCTTCAATCTTTCCCAGCATCAGGGTCTTTTCCAATGAGTCAGCACTTCGTGTCAGGTGGCCAAAGTATTGGAGCTTCAGCAGCAGTCCTTCCTGTGATTGTTCAGAGTTGATTTCCTTTACGATTAACTGGTTTGATCTCATTTCTGTCCAAGGGGCTCTCAAGAGCCCTCTCCAGCACCACAATTAGGAAGTGTCAATTCTTCAATGCTCAGCCTTATTTATGGTCCAGCTCTGACATCCATACATAGCTACGGAAAAAACCATAGCTTTAACTATATGGACCTTGGTCAGCGAAGTGATGTCTCTGCTTTTTAATAAGCTGTCTAGGTTTGTCATAGCTTTTCCTCCAAGGAGAAAGTGTCTTTTAATTTAGTTGAATGGTTAGGAATGCTCATTCAAGTCCAGAGTACCGGACTCCAAAGGGCTGTGTGCGCCTACATTGTGGCTCTTTGATCTCGACAACAGGAGAGATGCCCTGTCACCTGTGTCACTGTCGCTATAGTGCTCTCCTCCCGACAGAAGCGGTTCCTCTAGGTTCCTGGTGAACTCATTCACATCTCCTTCACGTATTTGCCTTCTCCTGGCCTGGCTGTGGGAAGCTGCCTGCTCCTAAGGTAGACCACACACAGCCTCCCGGCAAGGGAAAACCAGATGTACCAGGCAAGTTCAGAGCTGTCTGTACAAGCTTGAGCTTCAGGCTGAGCTCACACCTGGTCTATTCAGGCTCTAGCACCATCTTCTTCCCCAAACAGGACTGAATCTGGGTCAGATCATCCCCAGCCAGTCAGTCAGAAAGCAAGTCTCATTCATTTTATATGGTGCGGTCCACCATATTGTTTTGGATGATCCCAGTCCTCTGGCTTTCTTTATTTGAAATATTATTTTCATTTATTTATTTCTTGGGCTGCACAGGATCTTAGTAGTGACATGTGGACCTAGTTTCCTGATCAGAAATTGAACCCAGGCCCCCTGCATTGGGAGCACGGGGTCTTAGCCACTGGACCACTGGGGAAGTTCCCTTCATTCTTTCTATTTTAGGGCTCATTAAGCAATCTAACAGCATTGCTTTAAGAAACAAGATAAATGAATTATAAGCACAGCATGGATCCAGAACTTCAAAATCAATTCAATCAGTAGCATGCTGATTTAAATGAAAAATTAAAAGAAAGACCTAATTATAATCTGTCTCGAGGAACCAAAGTTGTTAGCAAGGTTGTCAGTAATAAATATTCTGTAAATAATGATGACCTAAAAGATGGGGCTTTTTATACAGATTTTTTTGCAATTATTTCAATATATTTTACCTACTTTTGTTGATAAGCATGTGTTCATAATACTAACACATTATTACTAGTTTAGTCTGTATCGTGGAATTCTTTTAAAATAAAGTAAATTTGGCAATAGATTTTCTTCCCAAAAGATGTTCACAAGAGATTTCAGAAAAGAAGTTCTTACTTAACAGGATTGAAAATCTTTTTGCTTCTGTCTGCTTGGGACTGTTCAATAGCAATTATTTGATTGGTGGCTTCTACCTATGTAGAATAACAAAAAGTAATTACTTCATAATTAATTTCTTTATTAATTAAAACATTCATTAGTAAATAATTTTCAATTACTTAAAAAGTTTCCCAAGGCATTATGTTAAGCACTTGACAAGAGGCCCAAGTCACTGAAAGATGTGTAAGGACTCTGACCTTAAAGCAGTGCGCTATTGGTGAGAAAAGGAACAAATAACTGAAGAGCTAAACAAAGAAAACACAAGACAAGAGAGAACAGGGAACATAGAGCAGACCATGGATCCTCCCGACCCAGGGATTGAACCAGGGTCTCCTGCATTGCAGGTGCTGAGCTATCAGGAAATCCCCAAAACACAAGAGCAAGGCAGCTCAACAGATACATGCACTCATTCGTTCATTCATTCATTCATTCATTCATTTCATAAATACTTGTTGAGCACCTGCTTTGAACACAGGCATTGCATTAGGCAATAGAGGTGAGAAGACAAAGCTAACAGAAATCTCAGCCCTTTCAGAGCTTACTAATAAGAAATAACAATAAACAGTAAAAATAAATAAAACCTAAGAAATGACATTTATTCAACAGTTGCTACAAAGTCTTCTTGTTATTAGGGAAGAGTAGCAAGTGTCTGCTGGTATCTGCCCTATGACTTATAGGTATTTGCATAGTCACTATCTTTCCAGAAAGCAATTAGGCAACCAGTATCAAGAGTTTTAATACTGATCATATGTTCAATGTACAATGCCTATTCTGGAATTTATTCTCATACAAAAATTAATATGCCTGAATGTTCACTGCAGTTTTATTACCAATAAAAAATTTACAGTAATACAGGAATTAATATGGTATCTTGATATAATGGAAAACCATATCATCTTTGTTTAATAATATTTTATAGTCTTTAATGATATTATATAATGCTACTTCCACAATATAATATTATCTATATGAGATTAATTTTAATAACAGAAAAAAATAAAGAAAAATTAAGTTACTAAATTGTGGATCCCAAGTATGAATGAATTTTATCTCTTCTTTCATACTTTTCTATTTATTCCATAATGTCCACACTGGACTCATATTACTTCCATAATCAGAAATATATGTTTTATTATTGTGTGCTTGCTGTTTATCTTTTTGTGTTTGTTTGGTTTGCATTGGTTTTATTTAAGAGCTTGGTTTGGAGCAAGAGCAGCTGATGTGTTTAGTGGTGAAGCACCACTAGTGGTAAAGTGCCACTTTGGGAGACTCAGGTTAGTGATCAGAAAAAAATATATGTAGATAATGGATATTTCTCACCCTAAGGAGCTGGATCTGAGGTAATAATGCAATAAATACTTGTTGACCACTCAGAAGTCATCTTACCTGCATTCTAATCCCCTCTATTATTTACTATTTTGGATGAATGGTGTGACTTTCCTGGGCCTCAGCTTCCCCTCTGTTAACTGGGAAGGAGGGAGCATCGACTAGATTAGTGGTTCCTTGGCTTTTTTAAGTTACAGACTTCTTTGGGAATTTGGTGAAAACTATGAACCAACTGCATATGGAAACACACCAGCCTCAAAAAGAATAAACTAATTACACTCAGCAAAAGAAGTCCAAGATTTATACACTAAAAACTTTAAAGCCGTGGTTTGAAGTGATGTTCTGCCCGATTCTGAATTGGTAGCTTCTATTTCCTATGTCTTGAAGTATTTATTCTTAGACCCCATCCACCATGCTATGAGGAAGCTCAAGCTGTCGCGCAGAGAGGTCTACTTGGAGAAGAGCCCAAGGCTCCGAGCTGCAGCCCTCTTTGAGCTCCTGGCTGATGGCCAGCACAGACTTGACAGACACTCAAGTGAGCCATCTTGGAAACTGGACCCAGCTAATGACTCCTGAGTAGAGCCAAGCCCTGACCAAGCGGCAGATTTTTGATCCAAACCAATGAGTGTTATTATTTTCAGTTGCTAAGTTTCAGGGTAGATGGTTATGTAGCAACAGACAACTGGAACACTTACTAAATGTTGGCTGAATGAGATGAAACTAAATAAAGACTTACCTTAACCCCAAAGGCTTTCAAGTAAAACATTTCTATTGGCTTTAGACCCATTTGGGTTTTGACAAATTTTGGACTTCCCCAAACTTGAATATGGATGGTGATCTGAAAATGGTTCTTCTTTTGGCAAACAAAAGCTTCATCTGCTGGCGAAAAATTAAATCCTTTGTCTGTGACAACTCGATAGCCTACATTGGGTCTATGAAAAGTGGAAGCAAGAAACCAGTCTTACAAATATTTTCTACACATTTTCTTTCATGAACAGTATTAATTACACAGACATTTTGGGAAAATACATTTTGGAAAGTATCTTTTGCTATATCTGAACAATGTGAAAGTGTCAGTCACTCAGCCGTGTCCGACTGTTTGCAGTCCCATGGACTGTAGCCTGCCAGGCTCTTCTGTCCATGAAATTCTCCAGGGAACAATACAAGAGTGGGTTGCCACTCCCTTCTCCAGGGGATCGAATCCAGGTCTCCTGCATTGCAGGCAGACTCTTTACCAACTGAGCCACCAGGGAAGCCCTCTTGCTATATCTAATCAATCAATTTTGTTAATTTTAACCAAGGAAATGAAAATGGTATTTCAGAACACAGCTGGCTATCTCACAGCCTTTTTTCTTCATGAGAAAGAAGTACAATTCTCGCCAAATGGAATCATTGTCTCCTCAGCCTGCCTTTTCGCTTTATGTTTCCTACATTTCTAATTTGACTCCACTATACAATAGAAAGACTTGTATAGAAGAAAGACTTAGTTAGAAGTTGAGAAGTTACCATCATATCAAATATCTGGGATAGAATTCATTTCTTTCCTTCTTACAAAAAATCTCTCATTTCATCAGCATCACCACACTCAAATAGTCCCTCAGATGAATGACTAATCAGCTTCCTGGTAGTCATATGAAAAAAAATGCAGACTGGTCATAACTACCAGGAATAGCTTTCAACCAGATTAACCAGAGTCAGTCCAACTACTGATTGAAAACATGTTTTCACTAAAGTATGGTCATTTCCTTTTTATCCTTCTGATCTGATCATAGCACTGAATACCTACTATGTTGTTTACTTCTGCAGAAAAAAATAATAGGATGACGGTGGGGCAGCTAATCAGACTCTTGCTTTATTTGTTTTATCAAATCATTTCCGAGAGCTACACTTTACATATATGTACATGCTGACTTGCTGCAGTCATATCCGACTCTTTGCAACTCTATAGACTATAGCTCGCCAGGCTCCTCTGTCTGTGGAATTCACCAGGCAAGGATACTGGAGTGGGTTGCCATGCCCTCCACCAGGGGATCTTCCCAACCCAGGGATCAATTCCACATCTCTTATGTCCCGTAGGTGGGCTCTTTACCACTAGCACTACCTGGGAAGTCCTTGCATTGTCCCTATGTGTGATTAAATACTTTTTAATGTTAATAAAAATAAAACCTATGTTTTTTTGAAGTTGTCATATCAAAAATAAAACCTATTAAACATGCAACATTATCAAGTAGAAAAGAGAACATAGAAGTTGAAAATTTTGGTAATTTTTTCTGTGTGTGTTGTAGATATGGAACATAATTTTTAATGCATCAAGTTTCCTAAATGTTCCTCAGGAAAAGAGGGCCTTCCTAGAATGACACAGAGATGACAGTATTTCCTGCTTTGCTGCCTCTCTGCTACTGTGTGGATCTTTGCTTCCTGGGATCTCAGTTTGGATGGCTGCCATTTAATGAACAACACAGATTTTCTAAATTTTTTTCTAATTTTAGTGACAGAATGATGAATGGGTCTCTTGGGAAAAGAGTGTTCACGTTCTTGGCAAGCTAAGCACCTCACCAGTGGATCAAGTCACTAGGTCACTGATTGGCCTCAAAGTCTTCTCAGGTGGCACAGAGGTAAAGATTCTGCCTGCCAATGCAGGAGACGTAGGAGACATGGGTTCTGTCCCTGGGCTGGGACGATCGCCTGGAGGAGGAGGTGGTAACTCACTCCAGTATTCTTGCCCCGAAAACTCCATGGACAGGGGGGCCTGGGGGGCTCATGGCATCGCAAAGAGTCAGACAGGACGGAGTGACAACAGGAGCATGGACTGATCAAAGGCCCCACAATCACAGAGCCCTCCAGCAGCAATGGGAAAATCCATTGAATGAAGGGCTTGATAAAAAGCAGGTATGTTAAGGCATCTGGGACTTTATATTGACTCAAGTTTCTGTAATTTGCTTGTCAAAAGGCTAGATGGATTGAATTGTACAGATTTTACTACAGAGGGTAGTAAGAACAGTTTTGATTAAGAAAAAAAAGAGGAAATATTTTTGTGTGTGATCTTCTATGTTTCACTGTCAAAAATTCTGAAGAAAAAAGGTAAGATTTGCAGCTCAGATATGAGCATTAGCCTGAAATTTAAAGACAGCTGTAAGCAGACACTATATCAACCCATAAAAATTATACAGTTGAAGAGTATTCTGAATCTTAAAAAAAAAGTCTGATTATAAAAACTATTCTATTTACCTAAGAGTAGCAATTCTGCTTTTGATATCAAAAGTTAATTATAAAATCGACTAAACTGGCCTTTTTAAAGGTCTTTTAACACAAGTTGTAAATATCATTCAAAAAATGTAATAAAATTTTAATCCCCTAACTTTATAACTTTCAGGTTATTTAGAAAAATTATGCTTTTGTAGCGAGTTAGATCTATTAATCTAAGCAGAAGCAAGTGATTTTCTGTCTCAGTGATTTGAGAAGTGAATTCAAGATCTCCTGAGTTCTAATCCAGATGAATACCGCCAATCTTTTTTGCTTAAGGAAGGTGAATTATGGCTAAGCATTCAAAATAAAACTGCCTCTACATCTCTGAGTTGATACTACTCATGTATCCTCTTTTTTTTTCCAGATCAGTGAAGCACAGATTGACTGCTCAGATAAACTTTAAAAAGCCTACTCAAGTAAGAAAAGAGATAACGGTTACCTTGAAAAGTTGATCAACTCAGATATATTACAGACTAGGAGGCATTACAGGTTTCGATTAAAATACTGTGCTTACGTGTGACAGTTTCAGACCTGGGTACTCATACGTAAGATAGTATATGGAACAACCCCCCCCCCACACCCCCAAACCATTAAATGACGTCTGACTCAAAACCAGGACATTTGGATCCTGCTTTTCTTTTTCTATTGCACACAGCAGCAAAGATAAAAGTTGAGACATTTCAGTGATGCAACTAGCAACTTGCTTCTTTTTGTCTCCAATTAAACACATTGAGTCTCAAAGTCTAACTCCTCAGATTTTAAGGAAAAGATTTCTTCCTTCTAGTTCATCCAACATAAAATTCCAAGTGATAAGTTTTGCTCTTAAAAAACTATTGGGATTAACATATATATACTACTGACACTATGTATAAAATAGATAACTAATGAGAACATACTGTGTAGCACAGGGAACTCTATAGTCAATGCTCTGTGGTGACTTAAATGGGAAGGAAATCCAAAGAAGAGGGGATATATGTATAAGAATAGCTGATTTACTTTGCTGTACAATTGAAACTATAAACAACTATACTCCAATAAAAGTATAAAAAATAAAAAATTATTTGGAGTTTGAAAAATACCTTGAAGACCCCCAAGTTTGTAGCCCAGCATTTCTCATTTCATATTATATTTATTAATTGAAAATCATATTCTTTACTCATTAACACACTTTAGTGCTTCAAGAAGGCATTTACAATCAGTGAAAATTCTAGAAGAGCTGGGTAAATAAATCATCATAAGGAATAAAAAGAAGTCTGAAAGAATCTTTAAGAGCAATAGTGCATAAGTCTACATTTATTTCTTGAAACTATAATGTCATAAGAATCAGATAAAAATTTTCTAGTTTAAGGATATTTTGTATGGTTTGATTTCAGTCTCTTAATATAAAGCCACCCTCAACTATGATCACTACAGGCTATATTGACAAGAAACGGACAGTATTGAATTGCAACATCGATGCTGGGGGAGCTAACAATTTAATATGTCCCCCCAAAATAATTCTGTGAAATTTTTAGTTGACTGCAGGATTAAACATTAGTGATTTGGGAAATCTCCCTTTTCCAGCTTTTAGTTTAAACTGGGCATTTGATCTCAAAAAGATTCCCTCTTCCTCCATCATTTAGTGGGTAAATTATGAGTTAGAATTACAAATCTGGATTCTTGAAGACCAAAACTCATGTCCCAACTGTTTATTGTTAAAATGCAAAACATAAGGAGTAAGACACACTTTCTCACTGACAAATTCCATTTGATCAGAGGTAGCCTCAAAGCCCAAATACTTGGATTTAGTCTTGAGAGTTAGCACTGTCTTGCTCCCCAGCCAACCATAGGGGTTCCTAAGGCCACTTACAGTTTTTCATATTGACTGTTTAATAAGCTATGCCAAGGAACACTTCGGTATGGCTGCCACTTCAAAGCAGGAGAAGGCTGGTCCGCAAGAATCATGTTCTGTCTCTCACTGTCAAGGTCTTGCACTTCGATGCTGTGACTCCTACCTGTCACTGCAAAGAAATTGGTATGTTAGATCTTCCCTCTGAGGCTGTTTTTCCTAGACTCACAGACAGCTGCATGGAGGGAATGCATAGTCCACATACAAGGCAGAGTGACCCTGTGGGGAATGACAAGTGTTGGGAAGCAGGGGGCATGTGGCTAGGTTTGCTTCCTCATCTGTAAATTGAGCAGCTTGGGCCAGTGATTCTAAGGTGCCAAGGTGAGCGCTTGTTGGAAACATTGCCCTCGGTATCTATTTCCGACATGGCATCTCTTCATTCCCAGTCTGTCTGGTTCTAGTGAATTCCATTCCCAGCCCGAAGAGGTGCAGTTTGAGTGAGGTCCATTCCCAGCCTGAAGAGGGTAGGGAACCCAGGCTTTATTAATAGAACTATGACATTCACTATTTGTATCAGTAATTGTACATACATGGCCTAATTCAATCCAAGAAACATGGGTCTCTGTGCTTTAGGGAAGATGGGTTCAAAGATGCTGACTATTTTCCATGAGGTGTGACTCTAAGACACATTCCCCAAAACTGCTGGCACCATTGTGGGACAAGAGAGAAAAGCCTGTCTGGAAATGAACCGGCCCAGCAGAAGGTGGAGTTGAGAATGAACACACCCTGTCCCAGGGGCATAAGTTTGAGTTCTGGCATCCAGTACTAAATCTTGGGTTACAGGAGCCGATAAAGCTCCTCATTTGGACTTTTTGTTTGGTTGCTGCATCAGGCAGTTTGAGGGTTGTTTTTTTTTTTAATTGGTTTTGTCCTTTGCTTCTTTGTTTTTGCTCTTTACAACCAATACATTCTAATTTGTTTCAGGTCCCTTGTGACACCAAGATTCTGTGGTCTAGCTTTTTTAAGTTATTTATTCCCTTAGTGTCTTACTTCCCTCAGCTGCAAAACAGAAATTAAAACAGGTGTCTTACCCGTCTTGCAACAACACATAAGCAGAGAGAATATCATAACACAAGTGAAAGCACTTTCAGAAGCTAATATTAAAACCAAGATAAATTAGCAGAGAATACTTTGTTAGAAGTTAGTGTTAACTATATGAAACTGCTTCTTTTGTATACCAAAAATGGTCCAATAACAGCAATTTTGCATGTGCAAGTTTCTACTTTTGCATAATCCTTGCAAGTTGTTTGTCTAATTTGAGTATGCCTCCAAAACTTATGATTCAACCACAGAAAAATTTTATGTAAATTCTATTAAGATGTTTGCTGTTTCCCTTTTCTGTGAGTTTTCTCCCATCACTCATGCCTCATATTAAGAGTGAAAGGGAAATAGCGTGTGTGCACAATGACTGGTGATGGCTGTAAGCAACAAGCCAGGATATAACACCACCTTCTATACAACGTGTCCTTAGCCCACTCACTGTTCTGTCTTTCTTTATACTTTTATTGAGGGCTTCTTAAATAAATAGCAGAGCTACTTCAGTTTGTTTTGTATCCCAAATGTTCCAGAAACTGTGTTTTTCTTGAGATAGCACTATTATGTGTCACCTAAGCAGAACACCTATTTTTTGAGTTTTGTATACAACCATTTCAGAAAAGGATTTTCTCAAAATCCTGAAAAACTTTTTCCCAGCTAAGAATATATAAGGTCAGCAATGCGCAGAGTTCTTCATGTCCTCACTCCTCCAAAAGTTACCTGTCTTAAACTTTTCAAAACAAACAAAAAAACCTTGTGTGGTTCTCCTGTTCATACCAAGTTCAAAGAAAGGGAGAAACTAGTTCTTCCACCTTTTCTTTCTCCCTCCTGCAGTGGAGAGAGGATAAAGAAAGTTCAAGAGCTTGGAGTTTGGAACCATATGGAACTGGGTTTGAATCACAACTCTACATTTGCTGGCCAACTAGGAAGCGGTCTAACATCTCTAGGCTTCAGTTGCTTCACCTGCAAAATGTGAGCAACAATACGATGCCTCCCAGGACTGTTGAAGGAGTTGTGAGTCATGTCTGTAAGTGTTTACCACAGTGTCTGCCTCCAGTGGGAGTTTGAACAATGGTGCCTTTGGTTAATATTACCAGCACTGTCATTATCACATGTACTCGTTTTTCTCAGGTGACTCAGTTATTCCTAAGAAGCTTTAGCAAATACTTCTTTCTTGGCCTCCATGGTAAGCTCTTGATGTGAAATCATGTTGTGGGTCTGAGTGAACACCTGCTAACTCAGACACTTTCCTACTCAAGTATGGCAGTGGGTGGCAGGGAAGCAGTCAAAGGTCAGCTCTGCCCCTCTAGGTGCTGATAGGGAGGGCAGGCAGGGGGCAGGGGGTTCTTCTCTACTTGTACCACCCAGGAAGCCCTTATTGAAGTATAATATTCATGAGAAAGAGTGCACAGATCATCAGTACACAATTTGACACTTTTTAATAAAATAAGTTATACTGGGTAACTACCTCTAGATCAAGAAATAGGATACTTTCAGCACTCTAGAAGACACACTCAAGCTCTCTTCTAGTTACCACTTTCTCTTGCTCAAGAATAATCACTGTTCTGATCCAATATCATAGAGAAGTTTATAGAAATTATGCAACATCATATGTACTCTTATGTATTGGCTTCTTTTAACCAGCAATGCTTATGAGATCATTCATCATTGTTGCAAATGATAGTAGTTCGTTCGTTTTCCTTGCTGTATAGTATTCCATTTGTGGTTGTTATAACTAATGCTAGTATGAATGTCTGTGGGGTCTGTTAGTGGGCATATGTGTATACTTCTGTTCGGTGTATTCCTAGAAGGGGAATCACTGGACCATTGGATATGTTTCAGTGGATGTAGCCAAAGAGATTTATAAAGTGATTACAAGGTAAGGATTCTTAATCCCATTTAACAAATGTAGAAATTGGGGTTAAAGACCTGAAACACTTCTTCAGTGTCACAACTGTTACCTGGGACAGATGGATTCAACATTTCTCTTCATGCTGCACTGAGGAGGTCTTGGGAAATGTAGCAGAAGAGAGAAACAGAAGTGTAAAGGCAGCAAAGTCTCAACTTTGGGGAGAAAACTCACAGCTTGCATCTGAATGTCTTTCAAAATATTTTCTTTTACTTTACTTTTTTTTTTTTTTTTTTTGGNTTGCTGTGCTGCATGTGGGATCTTAGTTTCCAATCAAACCTGCGCCCCCCTGCAGTAGAAGAACAGTCTCAACCACTGGACCACCAGGGAAGTCCCTATATTACTTTTTTAAAAAACTCTTGGTGAAATAGCAATCATGATTCTCATTTGATAATCGAGAAAGTCAGGCTTGAAAAGTCCATGATTCCTGGAGACACGAGACAGGAACCTTTCCTGATTCTACATTGGAAATTCTTTCTCTGTGGACTAATGACCATGACTGGGATTAAAAAACACTCATGCATTTGAAGTTTAAGCCATATAGAGCCATGAGCTCTCTTATATTTAGAATTTTCATCAGACAGAACCAGGAATCCTCTCATATTCGGGGTCCAGACCACGTGGGGCCAGGAACCAGCTGGCAGAAGCCAGCTCAATACCTAGTCTCTCTCTAAGCAAGTTTTTACATCTGCCTCCAGCAGCCCAGTAATTCTTCATTATGAACCCAATAAATGGGCATCTTGGAACCCTTGACCAACATGAACTGCTGAGGAGAAATTCACCAGAAAACCCTTACTGATTGATTTAGGACATCTTCCCCCATCAAAAATCCTGCCTGTAAGACTAGCTCCTCCTCCCATTCCCCATACGCCATTTCTCCAGGACCTTTGTGAAACTCTTGATCTCTGCAACAACAAATATGAGTTCCCCAGTGGAAAACTTCTGCTGAAAGCATAGCATTTGAATTAAGTGGGTTTTTTTTTTTTAATTCCCCTGGGAACCTGCTCATTTTCATTCTGGAATTGCTATCTGGAGCCAATTATCTTTGAAGGCTTTTCAGGGATCTTTGAATAGGATTTAAATAAGGAATGCAAGATTTTTGATGTGCTGGGACAGATCAGTTACTTCTCTATGACTGTTCTCTAGAGAGGGAGTGACACATCATTGCCCTCCCTAGGGACAGGCTGCAGACCATCGTCACAGGGTGGAGCTTACTTTTGAAATGGCCAGGAGAATTTTAGTAGCGATCTAGCTTATGAGAAAGCTCTTGGAAGGTTTGGGTGACTAACCCAAAGTACTTTCAGTGAGCTGGTGCATCTGTGGGAGAGTGAACAGATGGTCCCCTCATCTGGCCAGAAATTTACTCAGCTTTTTGTGTTTAAGAAGCATAAATAAGCAGCAGGCAATATGCAAGGATCCTTGAAGAAATTAGAGTAACCGTGCATAGGAAGGTGGATGGAATGCTCTATATTATTCAGAAACAAGGCTTTAATTAGCGTTCTGTGTTTCTAAGGTTGAATAAGAAAAATCAAGGCAGCTGCTGGCCATGATGGGACCAAGAAAAAGACAAGAGGTCAGCAGAGGTTTGGTTTATATGATGGCTAGATGCCCGGGGTTTGGTTTATATGATACCCGGACGCCCGGGTACTACTACAGCACGGCCAGGGAGTGATGATGTGTGGGACTTGGCCAAGTGAAGTCATCACCCAGTGAAGGACTCCCACAGCCCATGATGGAGCTGAGGCCAGATGTCCCTGAACAAAGCAGCAGGCTCCATGGGACACAGAGGGCCAGCTCTCATCATGTGGCTATGAAAGGCAAAGGCAGCGGTTTTCTCTCCTGAGCGGGTGAGAAGGCCACGGGTGCCTCCTGTCCGGGCAACATAAACCTCTGAAGCGTGGGGACAATTGTTGCAGGGGAGCCTTAAGAGGAAAATCTTGGACTTCTGGCCAAACTGATGATTAGGAATAAAAGAGGCGTGACTTGGTATCCTGAACTGGGATACCACTGCCTACATTCATTATTTACAGTGGGTAGTAAGATTGGCACGGAATAGTATCCTTGCCCCAAATGAGTGTCATAGCACTTACTCCCGAAATTCAGAAGTTCAAGGCTTCAGGCTCAAAAACTTCAGCTTGTTCTCAACTTGGTCAGGTCCCTAAGCTCAAAACATGATGTGTCAAAAAAAAAAAAAAAAAACCATGATGTGTTATATGATATGTAAGACAAAGAATGAGGTGGGCTGACCACTTGGGCATCATATAATCTGGCTAAAGGACTTCTAAAATGGTTTTTGTTGTCGTTTTAGTCGCTCGGTCGTGTCCAACTCTTCTGCGACCCCCATGGACTGTAGCCCTCCAGGCTTCTCTGTCCATGGGAATTCCCAAGCGAGAATACTGGAGTGGCTTGCCATGCCCTTCTCCAGGGGATTTTACAAAATGTCAAAGTTCTACTGGGAATCTGCTCATTGGAAGCAAGTGCTAAGGAAGCTCAACTCTCTACCTTCTTGCTCCCCTGGAGAAATCCTCTTAAGTCCTGCTTCTCCCAGTAATTTCCTTTCCATGACCCAGCAGCATCAGCATCGCCCAGGAGCTTGTTAGGAATGCAGAATTTCCGCCCACACCTCACACGCACTGGACCTGAGCATCTGCATATTACTAAGATCCCTGTGTTATTTGTGTGCATGTCCGTGTTGAGAAGGATTGCGCTGAACGAAGCCCTGAGCACAACAGCAGGCTCTGCAGGTGCTGCGACACTGCACGGCCTCCCCAGGCCTGGAGCCTGGGCCCTCCAAGACACAACTGCCCCTAAAACTGAAAGGACCAGCATTTCATCTCTGCCAGAGAGAGACAGTGGCATCTTTCCCCAGGAGCACCTGTATGACCCCACCTAAGACTGCATGAAACATTACATTAAGAAGGAAAAAAAAATAGGATTTCCCTTGTGGCTCAGTGTTAAAGACTCCGCCTGCCAATTCGGGAGACCCAGATTCCATCCCTGGTCCAGGAAGATCCCCCATGATGTGGAGCAATTAAGCCCATGTGCCACAACTGCTAAACCTGTGCTCTGGCGCCCAGGAGCCACAACTACTGAAGCCCAAGCACCCTGGAGCCTGTGCGCATAACAGGAGAAGCCCCTGCTCACCCCGAGAGAAAAGCCACGAAGCAATGAAGACCCAGCACTGCCAAAATATAAATAAATACAATTATGAAAATAGAAGGAAGAAATACACTCCCAGAGCATATCATCGCCCTTCTATGAGAGAGAAAATGATTTTTAGGCCTACTCCAAGGCTGGTAAAAATCCCTTATTTAATGGCAGCAAGGGGCCCTGGGTTGGCTCACTGGGTCTGGAGCGGTGGGTCCACACGTGACAGTCCCCGGAGTCCTCCAGCACCTGCGTGCACTTTCTCTTCTTGGTTGGAGGCAATGAGACTCTAAAATCAAGAACCCAAAATAAGGTTAGGATTTTTCTTTGCTCTCCATGTCACATTAAATCAAATTAAATTTCCCAGGACTCTGTGCTCTTGACCTTACTAAGACTAATTCTAGCTAAAGTTTCTTGCATCCTGCTAGTCTGTAATACAGGGTTGATACAAGGAGTGGATGGAGCAAGCTCCTATCCCATGAGCTCTACTAGTCTGAATTCAGTTTTCCATTATCCAGTGGATCTGGGATTCATTTATTTGAAAAAATAAACTGACAACATTTCCAAAGGCAGAAACCAAGACAGAAGACAGAAGAAAAAGGCAAAGGCAGCGGTTTTCTCTCCTGAGCGGGTGAGAAGGCCACGGGTGCCTCCTGTCCGGGCAACATAAACCTCTGAAGCGTGGGGACAATCGTTGCAGGGGAGCCTTAAGAGGAAAATCTTGGACTTCTGGCCAAACTGATGATTAGGAATAAAAGAGGCGTGACTTGGTATCCTGAACTGGGATACCACTGCCTACATTCATTATTTACAGTGGGTAGTAAGATTGGCACGGAATAGTATCCTTGCCCCAAATGAGTGTCATAGCACTTACTCCCGAAATTCAGAAGTTCAAGGCTTCAGGCTCAAAAACTTCAGCTTGTTCTCAACTTGGTCAGGTCCCTAAGCTCAAAACATGATGTGTCAAAAAAAAAAAAAAAAAACCATGATGTGTTATATGATATGTAAGACAAAGAATGAGGTGGGCTGACCACTTGGGCATCATATAATCTGGCTAAAGGACTTCTAAAATGGTTTTTGTTGTCGTTTTAGTCGCTCGGTCGTGTCCAACTCTTCTGCGACCCCCATGGACTGTAGCCCTCCAGGCTTCTCTGTCCATGGGAATTCCCAAGCGAGAATACTGGAGTGGCTTGCCATGCCCTTCTCCAGGGGATTTTACAAAATGTCAAAGTTCTACTGGGAATCTGCTCATTGGAAGCAAGTGCTAAGGAAGCTCAACTCTCTACCTTCTTGCTCCCCTGGAGAAATCCTCTTAAGTCCTGCTTCTCCCAGTAATTTCCTTTCCATGACCCAGCAGCATCAGCATCGCCCAGGAGCTTGTTAGGAATGCAGAATTTCCGCCCACACCTCACACGCACTGGACCTGAGCATCTGCATATTACTAAGATCCCTGTGTTATTTGTGTGCATGTCCGTGTTGAGAAGGATTGCGCTGAACGAAGCCCTGAGCACAACAGCAGGCTCTGCAGGTGCTGCGACACTGCACGGCCTCCCCAGGCCTGGAGCCTGGGCCCTCCAAGACACAACTGCCCCTAAAACTGAAAGGACCAGCATTTCATCTCTGCCAGAGAGAGACAGTGGCATCTTTCCCCAGGAGCACCTGTATGACCCCACCTAAGACTGCATGAAACATTACATTAAGAAGGAAAAAAAAATAGGATTTCCCTTGTGGCTCAGTGTTAAAGACTCCGCCTGCCAATTCGGGAGACCCAGATTCCATCCCTGGTCCAGGAAGATCCCCCATGATGTGGAGCAATTAAGCCCATGTGCCACAACTGCTAAACCTGTGCTCTGGCGCCCAGGAGCCACAACTACTGAAGCCCAAGCACCCTGGAGCCTGTGCGCATAACAGGAGAAGCCCCTGCTCACCCCGAGAGAAAAGCCACGAAGCAATGAAGACCCAGCACTGCCAAAATATAAATAAATACAATTATGAAAATAGAAGGAAGAAATACACTCCCAGAGCATATCATCGCCCTTCTATGAGAGAGAAAATGATTTTTAGGCCTACTCCAAGGCTGGTAAAAATCCCTTATTTAATGGCAGCAAGGGGCCCTGGGTTGGCTCACTGGGTCTGGAGCGGTGGGTCCACACGTGACAGTCCCCGGAGTCCTCCAGCACCTGCGTGCACTTTCTCTTCTTGGTTGGAGGCAATGAGACTCTAAAATCAAGAACCCAAAATAAGGTTAGGATTTTTCTTTGCTCTCCATGTCACATTAAATCAAATTAAATTTCCCAGGACTCTGTGCTCTTGACCTTACTAAGACTAATTCTAGTTAAAGTTTCTTGCATCCTGCTAGTCTGTAATACAGGGTTGATACAAGGAGTGGATGGAGCAAGCTCCTATCCCATGAGCTCTACTAGTCTGAATTCAGTTTTCCATTATCCAGTGGATCTGGGATTCATTTATTTGAAAAAATAAACTGACAACATTTCCAAAGGCAGAAACCAAGACAGAAGACAGAAGATACTTAAAATTTAAGTGCACATTTTACACCTGAAATTGTTTTTCATGTAGAATTTTGTCACAATATTTGATGGCCTTTACTCTTTTGATCATCCTCTAGATCCAGAGGAAGGAATGAGAGAGAGGGAAGGAGGAATGGAAGGGAACGAGAAAGAAAGAATATTGATAGGTGAATGCTGATTGAAAGACAATTGACATGTGAGTTTCAGAGAGCTCATGCACAAATGACTTGAGTGGTCTAGCTGAGGCTGCAAATGCAAAGAGTGCTTTCTCATTCACCCGGAATATCCCTCTACATTTCTGACATTTTGGCTTTCCATCACATGAGGACCTTGGGTTCGGTGGATTGTTATTTAAAAACTTGTCTAAAGCCAATGGTACTGGGTATCTGATATGTGTCTCAACACTGCCATCTTCTGGAGAGGACTATACAGTTCATTCTACCAGCACTGCTGGGGAGAGGGGTTGGCTGGACTTTCAAAACGAAGCATCTACAAACATCAACATGAATCAGCCATAGGTATACGTATGTCCCCTCTCCCTCCCTCCCCATCCCAGCCCTCTAGAGTCCCGGTTTGAGTTCCCTGAATCACAGAGCAAATTCTGTCTACTTTACATGTGGTAATGTAAGAAATCAACACCATTCTGCAAAGCAATTATCCTTCAATTAAAAAATAAATAAACTTTCAAAAGTTAATTTAAAAATAACTGTAAAAAAGAAGACAAACAAGTAAACTAAGTATCTAGCCCTTTACCCAGGACTGTGGCACAGAGGCTGCTGATGGTAAGAACAACCAATTCCCCCAGACTGGTCCAGGGGGCTCACAAGGTGACTGGCGTCTGGGTAGCAGCTGTGAAAGGCGCTGTGGGGATGGCCGGAGTTGCTCATTTCAGACGAGGTGTGAGACTGGTGTGCAGGCAGGATCCCAGGTGCATTTGCCGAAGGGAGGAGGGCAGCTGGTGTCAGGGTCGGACAGCACGCACCTGGGGGAACACGCAAGGGAGGGAGGCCTCTCTTTCTCACCACGCAGGGCCCAAGAGAGGAGAAGGGCAAGACAAGCGAGAGGGCTCACCTTTGTCCTGTGGAGGAGAGCAGGAATCTGATGCGGAGTAGGGCGGGGTGTCTGGGAGCTGGCCTTGCCTGAGGATGAGAGACAGGCATTGCTTTTTTGTTGTAACCTATTTCATCACTGCATTTTTGTCACAAACTGGTAGTGTGTGCAGCAGCCCCCAGGGAGGGTTCTAGGTGCTCCTGGGGCCAAAGCCCACCAGATCACGCCCAGCATCACTTTGAGTGGGCTCCAAGCTGAACAGACCTGGGTTTGAATCCCAGCTCTTCCACTTCCTAGCTGTGTATCCGTGAACAAGTACTTACTCTCTCCAGGCCTCCATTTCCTCACCTACAAAGTGGGAATAATCATGATGCCTCTTCAGAGCATCATAATGAAAATTAAATGAGATACTGTGTATAAAGCATAAGATACACCCCCAAACACAATGAGTACTCAATAATGTTTAATTAACATTAGCGTTGCTTCTTGACATCCTCAAAGCACTTATACCAGAGAGATGGTTGGACCAAAGCAGTATAAAATACCACCACCAAAGCCCTGGCTTTCCACCTGTGCTCCGAGGAATCCTAAAAGTCTTGGAAGGAGATCGGGTGTTTTATAAAAGAAAAAATTTAAATGCCTATAGGGAAAAAATATTACAACTTTTTTCTGTTTTATATATTGAGATGCAAGTAAAATTTTATTTTGAAAAAAAAATGAGTACTACCACTAAAGAAAGTGTGAAAATTTCTTTAAAAAAAACCTACATATGTATGTTTATGTATATACATTGTTGTACGGCAGAAACCAACACAGCATTGTGAAGCAATTATACTCCAATTTTTTAAAAAAATTATTACAAGATAATGTCTATTAAAAAGTAAAAAAACACAAACCTATCTTTTATGTTCAAAAAGTTTTGGCTTATGGCTCTGATTCTAAGTGATGTATAAACACTACCATCTTCCACCTGACTCTCTTGCTGAAGAGTAACTTATCCTGTTTTTCTCTGTTAAGATTTCAACCTCATGCAATAAAGAGAGAAGTGAAAGTTGCTCAGTCGTGTCTGACAATGCGCTACCCCGTGGAATATACAGTCCGTGGAATTCTCCAGGCCAGGATACTGGAGCGGGTAGTTGTTCCCTTCTCCAGGGGAATAGAGAGAGAAGTAAATCTGTCTTTATAAAGACAATATAGAAAAAAATATAGAGAAGCTATATTTTCTCCTCAAGTCGGTCCTTTATAGTTTATTCATTTTTATTAATAAGGAAAGAGAGAACATACACTATCCTTCCTCCCAAAGCTCCACCCAAATGAAAGTAAAAAGGAATAAAGAAGCAGAAACACAGAAGGACATAGAATCCGTGAGTAGAGACCACGACAGACTGTATTTCAGTAACCGCGTGGCAGACGGAAGTAGGATAGATGGTAACTGAATTAGCAGAAGGGAAAAGCAAAAACAAGACTGCCTGGGGATGGCAGAGGGGCTGTGGGAGCCAACAAGAGTTTTTCCAAGTTGAATATAACTCCAGCAAAGCCCAAAACCTTGATGTCACCAGCAGCCTCTGAATCCAGGGATAATAAGCTGGAGCTAAAAGTGAAAAAATTGGGACTCCCCTGGTGGTCCAGTGGTTAAGAATCCGAAGGCTCCCCGTCCCTGGTGGGGGAGCTAAGATCCCACATGTCACAGGGCAACTAAGCCCAAGTGCCACAATTCAAGGGCCCGCATTCCATACTGTTTGCCACAACCAAGCCCCTATGCAGTCAAGTAAATATATAAAAATATTCAAAATAAAAAATAAAAGTGAAATAATTGATTGCAAGTTTGAATAAGAAAAATAGCTGGACCTTTAGATCAGCTTCCCCAACCTGTACATTCTGGCAACTACCTCCATCATCCCATTGGAAAGATTTTTATTCTCCAGAGATCCTGGGAGATTGTAGAGCTTTGGGACCAAAAATGGAAGGACTCATTAAAAGTCTAAATGCTGAAAGGTGAGACCCTTCTTCAACTTGGCTTTGCAAGCAACCAGGCTGATTTCCCACAGTAAGAAATTAGAAGATTGTTCCCTAAAAATATTCAATCTCCTCAGGACTGGAGAGGGGGGAATGAGATTTGGAACTGGAAAGAAATAAAATGGCCAATCCCTGCCTGATCACCCTATAGTAAAACTCATTCTTTAAGAATAGTGGTTTGCCAAATAACTTCTTAAACAGGAAAAAACAATAAAAGACCAGACATTTTTCAGAGAATCTTAACCATTAAAGACAGAATAGACAACTAGATTCAAAAGGAATGCAAAAGAATCACAAAGAGTTCTTCTACATCTGAGAAGACTGGTAAGCCCTGATGAGACTTGACCCTCCCAAAGATAAAAATATCAACTCTGGAAAATTTTATATATATATATAGTTGTTGTTCAGTTGCTTAGTCGTGTCTGACTCTTTGTGACCCCATGGACTGCAATGTGCCAGACTTTCCTGTTCTTCACCATCTCCCAGAGCTTGCTCAAACTCATGGCCATTGAGTGGATGATGCCATCCAACCATCTTATCCTCTGTTGTCCCCTTCTCTTCCTGCCCTCAATCTTTCCCAGCATCAGGGTCTTTTCCAAGGAGTCGTCTCTTTGCATCAGATGGCCAAAGCATTGGAGCTTCAGCTTTAGCATCACTCCTTCCAATGAGTATTCAGGGTTGATTTCCTTCAGGATTGACTGGTTTGATCTAATTGCAGTCCAAAGTACTCTCAAGAGTCCTCTCCAGCATCGCAGTTTGAAAGCATCAATTCTTCAGCACTCAGCCTTCTTTATCATCTTTTTCATGGTCCAGCTCTCACATCTGTACATGACTACTAGAAAAACCATAGCTTTGACTCTGGAGCCTGGTGGGCTACAGTCCAGAGGGTCACAAAGAGTCAGACACAACTGAGCACCTAAGCACGCACACATGAGTGTACCTGAAAATACTGAAAAGTAGACAAAAGGGAGATTTTGGAGGAGTTCTGAAACTTAGAAGAAAGTAATGGCATAGGGTGAGCTGTCTATTTACAGCTTTTAGCCTTAAGGCCAATTGAACAGTTGCTTCCCTGTCCATGGGATTTTCCAGGCAAGAATCCTGGAGTGAGTTGCCATTCTCCTTCTCTAGGGGATCTACCTAACCCAGGGGTCAAACCCTAGTCTGCCGCAATGCAGGCAGATTCTTTACTCTCTGAGCCACCAAAACTCCAATAGAAACCCATAGTCTTTCAGGACTGAAGAACCAGAGAACAGAGTTTTGGGCAAACATAGCTGCTGAAATTGAAAGGGAAATCTTGGGAAAGAGGGATACAGAGAGGGGAAACCCTAAATTCCGTGTAAAAACCCTGGCCAAATGTCTGGCTGAATCATGAGTCATCAATGTGTCTTACGGAGGAATAAGAAGTAGAAGAGATTTTTTAAAAGACAAATAACAAAGTGGCAGAGTTAAATGCAGTATCAATAATTGCATTAAAGGTTAATAGATTATATACTCCCATTAGAGGGAAGATATTGGAAGAATGGATTTTTAAAATGCAAGGCCCAACTATATGTCGTCTGCAAGAAACACTTTAAAGACTCAGATAAGTTGAAAGTTAATGGAGAAAGAATATGCGTATGGGAAAGCAGAAGTGATTTCATGAATAACAGCTAAAATAGACTTGACAAATAAAGAGACTCATTCAATAATAATACGATAAATGGCAAAGTGTGGTCTCCTGCGGGTTGAAAGCCATGCAAACTAAAAGGAGTGCAAAATAGATGTTCTCTCGAGCTGGTTGAAGTTAACACATCCAGGACATCTGCATGTGGTCTCCAAAACATCCAGGATTCCTTTCAGATTGCAGCCAGGCTGAATTAAGCATTTACTGAGTGCCTAGTATGTGCTCATGACTCTACTAGACACTAGGCAGGACTTACAGTGCTAAGATGTGGGCTTCCTGGGACTTCCTGGCGGTCCAGTGGTTAAGACTTGTGCTTCCACATCAGTGGACATGGGTTTGATCCCTGGTGAGGGAAATAAGATTCCTCATGCCCTGTGGTGAAGCCAAAAAAAAAAAGACATGGGCTTCCCATGAACACCCAGCTGGGACTATTCACAATTCTACAATCCGGTCCTTAGTTTTCTACCAATTGCTCCTTCTCTAAAGCTCTATTGCACAGTGACATCAGCTCAGCAGAGTGCCCTGTACAGAGCTATTACTTAATAAATATGAATTACTGCTTTTTACCTGACATATAGCCATAAATATGTGTATATATATAAATTCATATATCAAGAGAGTTTTCCTGACCACACCAGTCTAACCTGGTAGTCCTCCCCCACCCCTTGCACTCTGCTCTTCTACCCTACACTTGCAATTCTTCACCTTACTGGACGACTTTATATGATACATCATTGTCTTCCTCTTCCCACTGGAGTCCATAATGACCTTGGACCACTAAGGGTGAATGCTGAAGGCATAGGAAGCGTTCTCCCCAGGAGCAGGCAATAAGGAAATGCACTGTCTTCTGAGAATTTAAAAAAACAATACTTAAACCCACAGAAGGTCAATCTGCTGTTTGTCATTATAACCACGCACCACTAAATCAAAGAAAAATGCCTGGGTGCCCTGCAGGGCAGACTGTTTTACCACAATGTCCTCGGTAAACTGTTACAGAAATTGTTTACTGTTGTACCCCATCATGCAAGTACAAAGATAGCTGTTACTGAAAGTATTTTCTCCAGATTTTCATGTGTATGATTCATGTCCTCCCACACAGACATTCACTTCAGAGCATGTCTTAATACTCCGTGTGTGTGTGTGTGTGTGTGTACATACATGCTAACCCAGTCATCTGTTGATGGGCATCTGGGTTGTTTCCATGTCTTGGCTATTATAAAGTGTGCTGAGATGAACATTGGGTGCATGTAGCTTTCAAATTAGTTTTCATTTTTTCTGGATATATGCCTAAGAGTGGCATTGCTGGATCATATGGTAGCTCTATTTTTAGTTTTTCAAGGAAACTCCATACTGTTTTCTGTAGTGGTTGCGCCAAGTTACATAACNTGCAAGAGACATGGGTTGGATCCC